ACACACACACACCGCCCGAGGGGACGGGGACACACACACACACACACCGCCCGAGGGGACGGGGACACACACACACACACACCGCCCGAGGGGACGGGGACACACACACACACACACACACACACTGCCCGAGGGGACGGACAGACACACACACTGCCTGAGGGCACACACTGGGCCATGGCAATATGAGGGTATGGCTAGTGGTTTCATAGCCCTGCTTGGTGTAAACTGGATTTAACCTCCATGTTCTCTACCCATTAACTTCATTCTTTAAAGGACCACTATAGTGCCAGTAAAACAAACTCGTTTTCCTGGCACTATAGTGTTAATAGGTCCCCCCTCCTGCCGGGCTGAAGGGGGAGGAAGGGGTTAAACGCCTGGCTTTCTCCAGTGCCGGGCTCCCTCGGCGCTGGGGACTCTCCTCCCTCTTCCGATGTCATCGGCTGAATTCGCATACCTGGCAAGAGCCGTGCGCGCATTCAGCCAGTCCATAGGAAAGCATTCTCAATGCTTTTCTATGGATGTCAGTGTCTTCTCACTGTGATTTTCGTGGAAGCGCCTCTAGCGGCTGTCAATGAAACTGCTATGTTTACAGCAGGCACAGTTAACCCTAGATGGACCTGACACCCAGACCACTTCATTGAGCTGAAGTGGTCTACGTGCCTATAGTGGTCCTAAGGAACACCGCAAAACTTTCACTTGCAACACACTTTAGTTGTGGTTTTGTTTGTTTTATGTTGGACACATATCAATCTGCACCACCTGAAAAGTGGAAATATGAAATGTAGCATTCATATGCTGCAAATGCCACAGAAGGGGAATCCAATTAATCAAAGGAGTAACTTGGAGGTTTCTTCACAATTTATACATTTACCTACTGCAGCATAGGAAACATATCAAGGCCCACCCAAATGAAAAATATTACTGAAAACTTATGCAGATTGTTAGAACTTTGTTAGATCATATATTGTTTCTGTTAGATCTAACACAGAAGAAGCAATATTAACAATTATTTGCATTCTCCATTAAATCTCACATAATTATGAACATAGTAAGTATTTCATATGGCGGGAGGGCTGGTCCTACCATATGAAAGTTTCAGACTGATCTTTCTTACATCTAGTAAGTTCAGGTGGTTTCTACATTAGCTCTCGCATAAATACAAAGATGTGCATTACTTGTCATGGAGCATGTGGTTTGAACCTCCATCTGATACAAAGCACTGTAATCACTCCCTCACAGTTCTGCAGTCACTAATGAGCACTGGAATGTGAGGGTGTGATTACCGTGGTTTGCACCCAAAGGAGCTGTAAACCATAGGCTCTCATTCAGCAGTGTCCAGGCTGTCCTCCTCCTGTCACTTGCTGCTGAGTTCTCATTCTCGCCCCCTAAAAAAAAGCCTTCATGCTGTAATTTCCCTCCAGCTGGACCACCAGGGATCCTAGCCCCCTCCCCCTTACCTGTTAGAGAAAGTAAGATCAAGTGGTTTCTATGCTAGATCTCACATAATTACAGAGATATGTATCTGGAAGTAATATAAACTCCTTAGTTTACCCAGGATAGCTTGGTAATTGGAAGCCAGCATTGGGTTTTTGACCAGAGTACCTGCCAACTGTATGCAGAGCAGCCCCAGTGAACCATGATCAGCACAATTCCTGATGGATTGTACTTATCTGAAGTCAGGTTACATCTCCGCGCCTGGCATCACAACAGGAACCGTACTGCTCAGAACTAGCTGTAGCACAGCTCATTGCACTTTCTAATGCGACTAGACACCAGAGATGAAGCTTCTTAGAAATCATGATAGAGTGAAAATAATTGAGTGTTTTATCAGGACTGATTACATAAAGTTCCATGTCTTTAGTTTCCAACTGAAGCTGTATGACCTGGTTATTGTGAGAGTAGTGAAGGCCAGATGGATGAAATATATCTAGCTCCATGCGTGATCAGCCCATGCAACCGGGGCTCCCAAAAAGACTTGCTCCTAATGTTTAACGTAGCTGCCTGGTGATTGCTGTTTCCTTTTCATTCTAATTATTTCAGTGCTTCTATTGCCTATTCTGTGGGTCTGCTAACGGTTGCCTATTGTTATTCTTCCCCACGCCGTGTGTTATCTATCTGTGACTGACATTACTTGTCTCATATGGCTCTTACAGTCCCACTAACTTCTTCTTTAAAGGACAACTGTCATCACATTTTTACTTTTTATCTTGCCAAGCAGCCATGTTGGGTCTTCTATTATCTGATCAACTGCTACTCAACCTAACTTTCCTGATGCTGTGATTGTTCTATATGCAGGGGCGTATTAGCCGCGAGGCAAACAAGGCATTTGCCTTGGGCGGCATTTTTCAGGGGGCGGCAAAAAACGCCGCCCCCCAAATGCCCAGGGCAAATGCCTTGTTAGCCTTGCGGCTAACTGACATCCCGAGCGGGCGGGCGGCTGGCAAGGGAGCTCTTCCTCTGAGCTGACTGCTCAGCTCCCTCGCGCGCCGCAGAGTGAGGCTGGGAGCCGGAAGATGACGTCATCTTCCGGCTCCCAGCCTCACTCTGCAGCCGGCGCTCGAGGGAGCTGAGCAGTCAGCTCATAGGAAGTGCTCCCTTGCCAGCCGCCCGCCTGCCAGCGCCGCCCGCCCGACCGGCAGCCACTGGACCACCAGGGAGAGAGACTCCCCTCCCCCCCAGCACTCCCAAAGGTAAGGAGGTTGGGGGGGGATTTAAATTAAAAAAAAAAAGTTAATGTGAGTGTGTGTTTGTGTGTGACTGTGTGTGTGTTTGTGTCTGACTGTGTTTGTGTCTGTGTATGTGTCTGACTGTGTGTGTGTATGTGTCTGACTGTGTGTGTGTATGTGTCTGACTGTGTGTGTGTA